CTGGCTCTCCTGGCGCGTGTTCTGTTAAACAAAATAGAAATAAAGAATATGGGTAATGTTCTTTCTCAGTACTCTACTTCGTGGGATGTTTGTGGCTGCCAGGTTTCAGCTATAGTAGCATGCAACATCCGGTGGGTGACGCTTGCTTGCTCTCACACTGCAAAAAAAACGCTTTTCTTACTTAGATGTTTTGTCTTGTTTCCAGCCAAAATATCTAAAAATGCTTAAATCAAGAAGGATTTTCTTGACAAGTAACAATTATTGTCTTGTTTTCAGAAAAAAAAGTCTAAATTAAGTGAGTTTTTACTTGAAACAAGCAAAATAATCTTGTTTTCTGTTTGAAATAAGATTATTTTGCTTACCCCACTGGCTTTTATTTAGCTTGTTCTAAGCAAAAAGTCACTTAATTTTTACAGGAATGCTAAGGGGTTAAGACCCGTTTCAAGTCACCATTATTTGTATAGCGCTTTATACAATGCTGGTTGTGTCAAAGAGGAACTTAGTTTGTCAGCAATGCAAGAAGACAATAACAGAGTCATTTTTCAGCTAAAGTCAGTTCATTGATGATTCAGTGATGTCATCAACCAGTTCAGCTCTCTTCCAATTTCAATATAAAGGGACAGTGGTATATCAGCACGAGGAGTGTGCTGACCTTGTTAATATGATTTTGAGTGGGCCATGTTGTGAAATAACAGGGATAGAAATCACATTGGTGTTAGCAATCACATTAACCCATGATTTGTTTATTAAAAGTTTTCAAATACAACAAAATTCTAACTATTGCAAGTCAAACAACAGTGCCATTTAAAGGGGTCATATGATGCGATTTAAATTTTTCCTTTCTCTTTGGAGTGTTACAAGCTCTTGGTGCATAAATAAGATCTGTAAAGTTGCAAAGACTAAAGTCTCAAATCCAAAGAGATATTCTTTATAAAAGATGCTTTAAAGATTTGCATAATGCCACCCAAATGTTCACGCAAAGAAAGAAGACGCTGTGTGTTTCGTTGCACAAGCTAAACTACTTTGTTTGGTCTTCCAAAAGAGGACACGACTAGAAATCAGTGGTTAAGTTGTATTTACAACACTGTTCCAGAACACTACAACCAAAGTATTTGAGTGTGTGCAGTGCATTTTATGGAGGACTGTTTCCTGATCCTGGTAAGTGGCGTAACATTTCCGTCACACGCTTGAGGTATTCGGCCAATCACAACGCACTGGATAGCTGGCCAATCAGAGCACACCTCGCTTTTCAGACCGATGAGCTTTGTAAAAATCGATGCGTTTCAGAAAGGCGGGGCATAGAGGAGAAACAATAATGTGATACAGTATGTGGAAAATAATGTGTTTTTTTAACCTTAAGCCGCATAAACATATCATTACACCAAATATACAAAATAATGCTCTTTTTAGCAACATCATGACCCCTTTAAGGGAAAAAAAAACATCTCTGGATATTGCAGTGGTGACACAATGGCACTTGGAAGAAAGAAACTGTAATATCACAAACATTATTAAATTAAGCTTAAACATAAACATAACCGTTTAAACAGTGTATAACTGCATTATACACCTAAACTGGATTTTGGTTTTAAATCGATTTACTCATCCCATCCAAGATGGTGTCTTGCTTTCTTTAGTAAAAATTTCCTAAAACTAGTTTCTAAACTTTTTCTATTTCAGCCACCAGGGAACGTGAGAGAGTATGTCTCAGCTTGGAGATTTCTCAGAGCCAGAGAGTAAAAGGAGGGAGGAAGTGTGAGTAAAGGGTGTGCATGCTAGCTGGGAGTGTTTCACTTGAAACCCCTGATTTCTGTACATCCGGGTTCAGAATATATAGAATATATGCAATATAACAAATGTTTCTTTAGTGTTTGTAGAGGTTTGAAGACAGAAACATGTGCCCTTGGAATTGCCTGAACTCATTACTTCCAAAGTTGTTTGATTTGCCTTGTGTTGAATGAACTCTGACTTCACTTCACGTCAAAACTCTATACTCCACATCTTATGAAGAGCTGTTTTATCAATGCTTTGCACACATTTTGGACTGTAAACTGACTGATGATATAATTGGTAATGATTGAAACTTGTTCACTGTGTAAATATGATACATTTTAGTTCTGGATTGGTGGCTCTTCCCTCAGTAGTCACCTTTATTTATATAGCGCTTTTAACAATACAGATTGTCAAAGCAACTTTACCGCATTAATTAGGAAAATAGTGTGTCAATAATGCAAAATGACAATAGTAAACACTCAGTTTTCAGTTAAAGGCATTGAATTCAGTGATGTCAACATCCAGCTCAGTTCACTTTAAATAGTATCTGTGCAATCATTTGCAATCAAGTCAACGATATCGCTAAATCTAAGCACTTATGACTGCGCATGCACATTTGCTGGTCTAGCCTCAGGCTTCTGTGGGTACCAGAGCTTCTACCGGCTGCTGCAGTGATGCAATGACTATTAGCTCTTTCATTTGGAAGGCGTTGCAGTTCCTCCCATTCATAAGTATAGGAGTGAACCATCTTTGTGTTTCTATAGTCTTTGAAAATATCCCACTTGTGAGGCTATCACTGAATACTGAGAGTAAAAGGAGGAAAATCAGCAGGGCCTGTGTAAGTTCCTCCATCTTTCTACAAAGGCACTACTCTGACTAGCTTCACACGGGGCACCGCTAAATGTAGAGATTTCAAATCTAAGTAGCACCACCAGTGTAATGGATTTGGGCTTAAATATTCATGTTAATATTTCGTTTTGGTCACACTTTTTGCAGGGGAACCAGCCAGGAGTTTCACCTTGACAGTAAAAATCAATCATGTAAGATTGTTAAACAAATAAGAATTACATAAATTGGAGGAAGTTATAGTCTGACCAATATGAAGGATTGTAGAGAATCGTTAACTTGTAGAACCTCTTACTGAATTATCAACACAAGGAAGACAAAAGTGTAATAAAGTTTTTTTTTATTAACAAAAGGATAGACAAGAGTAACTAACAACTACTAATTGGGTACAACGAATGGATAAAGTGCAAAAAAATTAGGTTTTCAATGTCTAAGGTTTTTCCTATGCATAATTCACTTTCCAAACCAATTCCAGATGAACCTACACAAAATATGAAGACCAAACATCAATGGGTGATGCTAAACATTGACCCATGCATTCATATATACAGTAGATACCTTAATAGGTAAGGTTGCATACATTGTTCTATCACACGCAGCAGTCATTAAGTATATACAGTTCTATAAATGGATTTGAAGAAGGTTTAATCAATTGTGTGTCCACTTTGTGTGAACGCATGTGAAGATGTGTCCTTTCCAAAACCAGTTTGGTGAGTAGTTCACACTTAGGTTTCAAGAATGAAGGACTGTGATCAGTGAAAAGGCACGTGGTGATCAGATCAGTCTTTGATCAGTGGAATGCTGAAGTCCTCATTCCTGTCTTCCACACATGATAAGCTTGAGGGAGAACAAAGCAGTTCCTGAACGGAGATTACTGTATGTTAATGTTACCCCCCTCTCCACAAGAGGTAGTGTTGTTTATCTGAAGACAAAAGTTATTCTTTGGTCCACAAAACCTGATCAAATCAAAATGAAGCTTTCCAGTCATCACCTGCTGTCCACTACAAGTGTAAATTCATCATTTAATTTCCCTTATTTTCAGTTTCATTAAACATTTTAGTTCAAATAAATAAATAAAACTGTAAGTTTAGAATGACACATTGTCTTTCTTTATTGTGTAGCGAAATGTATCCCCTTGTGCCACCTATAGTGTCCACCCAGAGCTAATACTGTACCATATGCAGACACCATAGCATATTAAAATTATTATATTGTGGCTATGATATATAGTCTACTTTACACCCCATGCTTATCAATGAAAATGTATTTGTTTATGTATTCATTTATTTTTGTGGATGTGCAGAAGGCAGTGGTGTAAAGGTTTTCAATAAATGCGCTTGATTACATAAGTATCTTTTTGGCTACTTTGTAATTGGATGGAACATCACTGATATTAGCCACATTTACACTCTGCACGGCTACATTTTTTCATGAATACAGGTTTTTACTTTTCCTTTTAATGAAAGTCTGTTCACTCAGCTGCCACGTTTGCCAATGGCAAAATCCTAAAAATCTCAACAACAAAAACCAAAAACCAGCAACACAATCTGACATGAACTGTCTCATAAATGTTGTTTCTTATGCTCAAATAGTGTGGGACTTTTATTTAGAAGGCAGAACTTATTCCACCAAATTTGGCGTGGCTCTTCCTCTCTTTCTTAGTAATAAGAGTGCACCGTCTTGGTATATCTGAATATATAATCTATTTACATTTACACTTCTCAAACAGTTCTTCTCTCTGTGTTGGATAAGAAACAGGTAGCACGTTGATCTGCCAGACGTGGGTCTTTCATGCGGAGAACTATGTCTTTTGCATTATGATGCATTTAACAGTAAATGGCCAAACATCTGTTCTGCTACTGTGCTGTTTGTATCTTGATAAAAGTTCACAATGTTTTTGTTTTTTTTGTTAGATTGTGAGAACTACGGTATCTTTGAGCCTACAGTCTAAATACTAGTTAAGTACTGTTAAAATCTGATACTCTGAGACTCAAGTGATATTGGGCGTGTGTTTTGCAGGTTCTCTTTACACCTCTGGTGGAAGGCATTCCAAAATCCCTGCTCAGAAACCATCTGAATCTGAAAGAGACCCTTCTGTAATTTGATGCATTATTCAGTGGTTTTCTTTGATTGACATCGTCACATCTACCTATGTATCCAAAGGGTGATGTTCCTTCTCTGACACACTTCTGTTCCTCTCACGTATTGTCACTGTGTCTAATTTGCACTAGCCTAGCCTGTCAGACTTACTTGACTACTTTTGGGAGCCGTGGCCAATCCCTGTGTGTGTTAAAGGAAAACATGTTCAACTGGACAGGCTCGCACAGCCATACACAAGACACCATGAACACAGAGACCTGCACTGTCAAGACAAAAAGATTCACTGCACACCAATAAAAGAGGAGCATAATTCAACATTCAACAAAACATCTGAAACAAATCAGAGGTAAGTCAGCTATATGAGCTTTGAGAATGTCCTCACTCTGCTGCTGTGGATCTGTCATATTCATAAAGACTGCTTTGCTTTCAGTATAGCTGTTGAAGGCTGGTGTTACTTACTAGAGTTTATAACCATGATATCAAAAATCATTATCACAGTTCTTAACACAAATCCATTTCATTGTTAAAGTATCAATTCATTAAGCTTTTATTAGTGTTCAGGTTCAAGTGTTTTATGTAATTATTTAACACGTAGAGTTGGACTGTAAAGACTGTCTATTAGTGTTCTTCCATGCAGTCACGGGGTTGGTTTGGAGTCTACACTTCATCAGATCCATCGACTACCAGCACTGTTCTCTTAAAGGTGACATATCATGAAAATCTGACTTTTCCAGGTTTTAAGTGCTATAATCAGGTCTCCGGTGCATCTACCAACCAAGCAAACGTGAAAAAGATGAACCCAGTAACTTTGTTTTGGGAAGCCTTTTTCTGCAAGCGTCTGAGAAAACGTGCGCGTCTGATTTCGCTCTCTTGGTGACGTGACAAAGGGGTCTCATTATAATATTACCACCCCTTAATCTGTGAGTTTACACCTACGGTGCAGTTATTGTGTTTTCACAAGCGACAATGGTGTATTAGTAATCATGCCATGATGAAAGTCTGAGTAAAGCATGCTAACTGTTCTGTGTTTGGCTGCACAGACGAGCACAGAACACTGTTTAGAGTCCCAGCCTCAGAGACAACAGAGCAGTGCATTTACTGATTTATTTACTGTATATTGCTGCTGCCATACAGATCTAAAATAAACATGTGATTTATTTCCCAGCCGTTTACCGTCACAGACATAACCCACTGTTTTTGTAACTCGTGTGTGTTTTTAACGTAAACCTGTGTGTGAATGAGAACTTAGTTTAGTGCTCGCATGCTGTGACAGCTGCTTTCTGTGCGTGTGCTTCAGATGTGTGCGCTCAGAAAACCCTATATCAGAAGTTTAAACTCATATGGTTTAAAACGCATGATTTCAGCACGATAAACATGATAATCAGAACCAAAACAGAGGTTTTTAGCAGGTCCGAGCTGTAATGGCGCAGCTCTATTCTGGAAAAGGGGGCGGGGAGCAACAGCTCATTTGCATTTAAAGAAACAGCCCCAAAAAACAGTGTGTTTCTGCTTCCACTCAAAATAGGCATTTTTATAATGATATAATAAATGATCTGTGGAGTATTTTGAGCTGAAACTTCACAGACACATTCTGGGGACACCAGAGACTTATATTACATATTGTAAAAAGGGGCATATTATGTCTCCTTTAAATGAGACTGACTGTACTTACAAACAGAGCCATGCAAGTGTCTATAAATAAATAAATGAACAACAAACAAATACATAAAACACCTGCTAAGTGACATTGTATACTAAATAAATTATTTCATGCTCTAACAAACTGGACCATTGAGGACAACATGGTTATTATAAATGACATTAGATGCAGTTTATGCACTGCATGTTGGAACAGTATTTAGCAACCTCAGTAAAGGAAATCAACCAGACGTTGTTGAACCTGATTTACAGCATTTTACAAAATGTTTGTGCACATGACCTTTGTTCTGAGATATGTCTGCACATTTAATTCCACATGATTGTGCGTTCATAAACCAGGCACCTCCCTGTGAAAAGTCCAGCTTACACGTCCCATGCTGGTTAATGCTGGTTTAGTGCTCGTGTCTGGTCATGATTGACAGTGTGATATCTATGCCTGCAGTGCTCATGGAATTCTAATCTATTAGCAGGGAAACTACTAGTCACTGGAAATACTCAAGCAGCCATATTAGTTTTCCAAACCACCACGGGACAGCAATGCCTGACAGCCCATGCCATGACCTAAACTGACCCGTTGTTCTGCGTACCACATGAAAGTTTTCAAATGTTTTTGATTGTAAAGTGATTGTTACTACAGATGTCTGTAGTGTTTAATATCAAATTGCACACAAGGCACCAAACACAAAATACATTTCTGGTTGTATGTAGTTCTGCAGGAAATTTTGAACATGACCATTTATATGGAATTATTCGAAACCAAGTCAAATACCACTCGTCATCATGAAAACACATTTTCAAGCCCACAGGCAACAGTCAGTGTTCTTTCTCTGATTAAGGTGTGATGCAGTCCCGGTGTAGTTCATCTACATTACAGTAAACAGGGAAAATTACACACTCTAGCAAGAAATATGATTTCAGTTTACATCTTGATTTTATGTTTTTTTTACATCCAGCATTTTAATGGTTGACAACAGCAACCCCAGAGTCACAGGTTGATCAATTTTCAACACTTGGCTATGTTGTTTTCTAGGCAGTCAAAGAAGCACAAGATGGCCCAGCTGGACAATGATCTTTTCTCTGAGCAGGAGTTGACCTGCTCCATCTGCCTGGATCTCTTCAGTAAGCCTGTTTCCACGCCATGCGGACACAACTTCTGCCAGGGCTGCATCGGGGGCTACTGGGCCTCCAGCTCCGTCTGCACCTGCCCACTGTGCAAACGGGTGTTTGAGGAGCGTCCTGAGCTCAGCATAAACCGTGTGTTTGCACATATCGCCCAGAAATATAAAGAGATGCACTATGATGGGCCTCCTCAACCGAAGCCAAGGCAAAAAGCGGTTAATACCGGAGCTTCGCTAGCTGATGCAGAGCAGATTTTATGTGACGTCTGCAGTGGCAAGAAAAAGAAAGCTGTCAGCTCCTGTCTGACGTGCACTGCGTCATACTGTGAGATTCACGTACTGCCACATCAGCAGACGTTGTTCTACGCCTCCCATCAACTGCTGGATCCTCATGAGGCCCTGCGAGGCCGAACCTGCCAGGAGCACCACCGGCTGATGGAGGTTTACTGTCGCACGGATCAAAAGTGTATTTGTGCGATCTGTGTGCTGGAGGAACACCGCACACACACCACAGTCTCAGTGCAGACAGAACGCGCTAGCAAGCAGGTAACCGTTTCTCTTTTTAGAATAATAATCATCATGGAAATATGTTTTCACTGCAGCTCAAAACTACAATGGCAAGAGACAAGAAGGAATAGATCATCCAAAAATGATAATTCCGTGTCATTTTTTTACTCACCCTCAAGTTGTTCCAAACCTGTATAAGTTTCTTTCTTCAGAATAATATTCAATTTTCCATTTAAATATAAAAATATATGAATATATATATATATATATATATATACTATGGAAGTCAATGGCTACCATCAACTGTTTGGTTACATTTGCTTCATAATATCTTCAAAAATATCTTCTTTTGTGTTCAACAACAAAATCTCATACAGGTTTGGAATGACATGAGGTTTAATAAATGATGACAGAATTTTCATTTTTGGGTGAGCTATCACTTTAACATTACTAATCTATAGTTAGGAGCAGAGCACTAAAGGTGCTAAAAGTTTTTCTTAGTATTCTTTTTATCATTGTATTTGTTGTTGTTCTTCTTCTTAGTGGAGCTTGCTTTCTTTCTTTTTTTCTCCACCTTTATTTGTATAGCGCTTTATACAAAACTGGTTGTGTCAAAGCAGCTTTATAGCGTCACACAGGAACTTAGTTTGTCAGTAATGCAAGAAGACAATAACAAAGAGTTATTTTTCCAGCTAAAGTCAGTTCATTGAAGATTCAGTGTCATCATCCAGTTCAGCTCTCTTCAATAGTTTCTGTGCAATCAAGTCAACAATATCGCCAGAAATTAAGCGTCCCCAACGTACCTCGGAATAAGAGAGAAACAGACTAATATTAGCGTAGATGCCATTCTTCTAACGATGTAGCAAGTACATCGGCTGTTATGAGAAGTGTTCCCGGTTCTGGTTGTCCTATTTAATGCAGCCTAAAAATCCTTTAACGGATTTGAATATTAGAAGCGTATTAATGTGTTATGTGTAAGCCAGGTTAAAGAGATGGGTCTTTAATCTAGATTTAAACTGACAGAGTGTGTCTGCCTCCCGAACAATGTTAGGTAGGTTATTCCAGAGTTTGGGCACTAAATAGGAAAAGGATCTGCCGCCCGCAGTTGATTTTGATATTCTAGGCATTATTAAATGGCCAGAGTTTTGAGAACACAGCGGACGTGGAGGACTACAATGCAATAAGAGCTCATTCAAATACAGAGGTGCCAAACCATTCAGGGCTTTATAAGTAATTAGCAGGATTTTAAAATCTATAGGATGTTTAATAGGGAGCCAGTGCAGTGTTGACAGAACCGGGCTAATATGAGCATACTTCCTGGTTCTAGTAAGAACTCTAGCTGCTGCATTTTGGACCAGCTGGAGTTTGTTTATTAAGCGCGCAGAACAAACACCCAATAAAGCATTACAATAATCTAACCTTGAGGTCATGAACGCATGAATTAACGTTTCTGCATTTGACATTGAGAGCATAGGTTGTAATTTAGATATATTTTTGAGATGGAATAATGCAGTTTTACAAATGCTAGAAACATGACTTGGTAACACTTTATAATAACTTTCATGTATAAATCATTAACAAACATTATATAATGCTTAACAGATCATTAGTTAATATACAGTATATTCACATATCTAGAAATATGAGATAATGTTCTTGTTAATGCTTACAAATGTCAGTAAACTTTCAGTTTATATGATCTTCATTTGTTGGTCTTTGTTGTGTAGACCTCTATTTACACATCTTAACAAATAATCTATTAATTATTTGTTCATGTTTTTGCAGTACCCAATCTAAAGTGGAAACTCTCAGTATATTAACTAATGATCCATCAAGCATTATATAATGTTTGTTAATGATTTATTAATGAAAGCTATTATAAAGTGTTACCCATGACTTTCAAAGGAAAGAGGTTACACTTTATTTCGATAGTCCTAGACATTCTACTAACTGTAAGTAACATTGCAACTACATGTCAACTAACTTTTTAGCATTTGTAGCCTGTTAGGTTTGTAGAATAAGTTGCCGTACTTGCAAAGTTACTTATAGTTAGTAGAACATCTGTTGAGTGACCATCAAAATAAAGTGTTAGTAGACATTAAGCAGACAGTCTACTAATACTCTAATGACTGCTGGTTGACATGTAGTTGCAAATTTGTTTATAGGTAGTAGAATGTCTAAAGTGGACTATTAAAATAAAGTGTTACCAGGAAAGATTGCAATCAAATAACACACCTAGGTTCCTAACTGATGATGAGGAATTGACAGAGCATCCATCAAGTGTTAGACCGTGTTCCAGGTTACTACGTGCGGAGGTTTTTAGTCCAATAATTAACATATAATTAACAATAATTACCATAATTAACAAATGCATATTTTTGCGAACTGGAATGTTTCGTTGGGCCACGAAAAAATATAGAGCTGAGTATCATCAGCATAGCAGTGAAAGCTAACACCGTGTTTTCTGATGATATCTCCCAAGGGTAACATGTAAAGTGTGAAAAGCAACGGTCCTAGTACTGAGCCTTGTGGCACTCAATACTGTACTTGTGATCGATATGATATCTCGTCATTCACTGCTATGAATTGATGATGGTCAAGATTTGAACCATGACAATTCAATTCCACTAATACCATCATAATTTTGTATTATACTCAAAAGAATGTTGCTGTAGCAAAGCATCACTGTTATCCCATATTCTTGGTCTGGACAAAACTTTGACACCTTACTCATCCCACACCATTGAGCTATGATTCTGTATGTATGATTGGAGAGCAGATGACTCTTTAAGCTTTTGAATCGCTCTCGTGGTATTTTGATGTCATACGCAGATCGGTCTGCGCAGCGCCAATGCATCTCGAACAAGCCTGTTAACTCCATATACGAGATACATAACTGAGGAAAAATGCATTGTTGGTCAGTGCCACCTAGAGTGCAGGCGAGAATTAGCAGAAGGCGATCAATCGTTTCGCACTCGGTGTGAAAGTGCCTTTACACTGAAAAAATCATCAGGGGAATATCTGTGGATCAGAACATTGTAGAGACATAGATGTGCTCTTGTGACTCTTTTGACTTCCATGAAATGTTTAAATAACACCTAACCATAAAGAGAGACCTATGACCCAGCCGTATCACGGCATCCTTTGAGGCCTTTCAGGGCCACAGCTGTGTTTCAGCAGCAGAACATCATAGAGACAAGGTGTGGAATCATTTATGGCTGATATTTAATCCTTCACAGAAGACTGAGGGAAAGAGAGATTTTAAATCTAAGAGACTTAATTTTTTTTCTCACCTCATAGAGACTCCTGGGAAAAACCGAACTGGACCTTCAGACATGTATTGACAAAAGAAATGCCCAGCTGACTGAGCTGAAGAGCAAACTACACGCCTTGCAGGTATTTTAAAACTATAGTCAAGCTTTATTGTCACTGAAGTTTACAGCATACAGACTAATTAATCTTGTATAGTTGTCTTTAATTGTGTGAAGAGCTATAGATTTAAAATTTACTGTGAAAAAACGTAAAAAGGACTTTTTTACTGTTTTTTTTACAGTGATGTTTAATCATTTGTCTCCACTTATTTCAAAAACTTTGCTAAAATCATTCTTTTAATAAACATCTGTACCGAAAACATTTTGAACTGTCCATTTGGATGGTGCTCATAATGTTTGCAGTGCAGGTTTGTCATGTACAATGTCTTTCACAGAGCTACGCTCAGGCTGAACTGTCCGAGGTGGAGCAGCTCCTGTCTGACGTCACACACTCGGTAGATCGCATCCGCAGCGAGCTGGTGGGTGGGATTGAGGAGAAGAGAGAGGCTGTGATTGGACGAGGACAAAGCATCATCACCCAGCTTGAGACAAAGTTAGCGCAGCTGCAAGAGCGCAGAGGTCGACTAGAGGCACAGGCTATTTCAGACGACCATATCGGCTTCCTTCAGGTACAAAGATGCAGTCTTACAACAAACACCCGAGATTATGTGTGGGTTTTTTTGTTAACCACATCCATTGCTTCATCCTTTTATTGCAACCCATTCTCACTCCCAAGGCATCAAACACTGAATTACGGTCAAGTGCCTTGCATGTCACTATGAAGACACTACGTGTCTCTACATCCACAAAGTAGGAACTTCATTACAAATGCTTGTTTTATACATCTTCTCATCATTATAGTTTTCTGGCTAAAATGTCTCCACAAATGTCTTTATTTGTAGGAATAAAACTGATTACATATTACATTTTTTGCATACATCTGTAAAATGTTATATTTATACTAGCCCCTAACCTAATGTAACATTTATAATAACCCCTAACTTAACCCCACCCGTACCCTAAATCTAACCTCACAGAACAAGCAGATAAAAATACAACCACAGTAATGTACTGCAAAAACTGACAAATATATATAATATAAAATATACAGTATATACATCCACACACACAAACGATGCATGGTGCATTTCAAGTCTTCTGATGCCATACAACATCTTTATGTCAGAAACTTAAAATGAAATTTAAGGTTTTAACTGCTGGAAATGTTCATGCTCCATTAACGCAGTCACATGCCATTCAAAAGATAAATCTTTTAGTATGATGCGATTTGTCACGAGTCAATGGCATTTTTCAGTCAAAGCTGACATAATGCTTCTTTAGGAGCGATTTCTGAATGTGTGGATGACTGAGCATTACAGCGGATGGAGACATGATCCTTCTTGGGTCTTTTCCTCAAACGCTGTGGCGTTCCTAGTTCGTCTATATAACAAAGCCAGGGGGTACCTTTAGGGTTTTAATAATGACGTGCAAGGCACTTGAACATGCTTCAGTTTCTGATGACTTCGGAGTGAGAACGGGTTGTTTAGTCCTTCTCTGGTGGAAAGGTGAAACCATCAAATACAGTATAAACAAAACTGTATTACTTTACAGTAATGGCATTACTTCTAAGTTGAACTGTAGGATATTTGATGTAAAATGAAATGAGGACCCAGACCCAGGTAAAACTTCAACATTAAAAGGTCAACATCACCCTCTGATGCTACGATTGACAGCTCATCTTCAGGCTGAGCTGTGGCTAACGAGAAATAGATTGACAGAGAGATTCGATTCTTGTCAGCATGGGCTGCGTCCAAACAACTGTTGCAGTGATCGTGGCCATCTGAGGGAGAGACTGCATCCAGACGACCCAGAATTTCTGTTGTTAGAGAACATTTTTCTTTGAACTGCTCATTGAAGGAGAATTCTCTTGCACTTAATGGTGTGTGTGGGAGAGAGAACCACTGAAATGTGCTGTACAGGAATCCAATAAAGCTTCTAGGCAGAGGTGAATGAAGAGAGAATCAAAGACACGTCTTCTCGGCACTGAAGAGCACATCTGAATACAGTATAAACAAAACTGTATTACTTTACAGTAATGGCATTACTTCTAAGTTGAACTGTAGGATATTTGATGTAAAATGAAATGAGGACCCAGACCCAGGTAAAACTTCAACATCACCCTCTGATGCTACGATTGACAGCTCATCTTCAGGCTGAGCTGTGGCTAACGAGAAATAGATTGACAGAGAGATTCGATTCTGGTCAGCATGGGCTGCGTCCAAACAACTGTTGCAGTGATCGTGGCCATCTGAGGGAGAGACTGCATCCAGACGACCCAGAATTTCTGTTGTTAGAGAACATTTTTCTTTGAACTGCTCATTGAAGGAGAATTCTCTTGCACTTAATGGTGTGTGTGGGAGAGAGAACCACTGAAATGTGCTGTACAGGAATCCAATAAAGCTTCTAGGCAGAGGTGAATGAAGAGAGAATCAAAGACACGTCTTCTCGGCACTGAAGAGCACATCTGAATGAGTGGAGCAAGCTGCCTTTTATATACCTGTATGTCCGGAGGAGTGAAATGTAAATTCCCCTCGTCAGTTCTCATTGGTCTTTTCTGAAGTATCAGAGGTGTTTGGGGCTCCCAAGAGTGAGCCCTAGTGTCACAACATCACTGAGTGAGTGACAGATGACAAAAAGTGAGTGCCAGGGACAAAAGGCCCAAGATGTTTGCATTTGCTATTTATATTAGGCATATTTATTTGAGTTTGTGCTCAACTGTTGTGATCAGATACGTGTTTACTGTCTCAGAGGGGAGTGTTGTTCTCAGAATAATTGAGGCAGAAAGGTGGACGAATGAGAGGCAAGGTTGTCTGGCTCTGACAGGGAGAGCATGTGCTAAATAAGTGTCATTTTGAATAATGTTGTATTTGAATTGCTCCTGTCACCCTACACACAAATGTTATAGCTGTCCTCTGAGTGGCAGAAGCTAGATGTGTGCATAGAAAGATCTGCAGAAGCCACAGATTGTGGATGAGGGGCAGGATCCTTAATGAACCAGATACTCGCTCAGTCTCATTACTACATTTCAGTACACCTCAACATACGGTGTTTTATCTTCATCGTGTTCCATTCCACCAGATTCTTTTTGAATATGATCATCTTTTTATGATGACAGAGTTTTGAGGAAGCCAACAGTCCCTTGCAGAACTCAGATATGGACATGCATGAGGTGGATGAGCTGACCCTACGCTTCTCATTTGGGGACGTCAAAGCAGCTTTAGGAGAGATCCGGGAAAGACTGGATGACATACGCTGTGGGGAAGTGCATTACCGGCACTCTGGTGAGACACTGCCGTGTGATAAATGCAGCAACACAGCATTAGTTGCATTACACTGCATAGTGCTAAGGAACAGAATGACAAACACTTTGGAATACTGTTCCGTCATTAATAAATAACCACACAGGAACAAATGAGTAACACAATATTAACAGCACACTACGGTTAACTAACAAGAAACTCTATGGCAAGCCGTATATCCTGAGAATGAATAAAAGTCAAAGCGGCTTGCCATAGCAACTCTGATTAACAGATTAGTAAGTAATAGCACTCAGTTGAATACAATAGTTCACTATTAGCTAATCGGTAACTTTTTGCATTTTTAAGCATTTTCACATTATTTATATAGTTTCTTTGTAATTCTCTGGGAGGCATGAAAGAATAGTAGTTATTGATTAGCTGATAGTGAACTACTGCATTGCTATTATTTACCTATGCTTTAATCAGAGCTTCTTGTAGTTCATAGTACTCACTACTGCGTAGTTATTCAAAGTGTTAACACAGAATGCATGTGTGACAGAAAGTCACTTATGAAGAGAACCTTATAAGAGTGTCTTTGTTTGTGTGTGGTTTCTATGGCAGTGTCGACATTAGCAGAGAGTGAGAGTATGATGAGTGTTCGATCAATGAGGAGGAAGGAGTGGTCACTGAAAGGTAAAGAAAAACACCTGAACCCACACTGACTCTTACAAAATACATCTGTACCACTTCTAGTAGGAACATTGATGATCTTTCTCCAAAATCTTTCATTTTATGTTTTACAGATCTACGGAAATTAAAAATAGGTATGTATGTTTTTTAAGGCATCTATACATTTTTTTCAGTGTCTTTCTTTTAAAAGAGCTCAAGCAGCAGATTTTGTTAGATGTTGGATTTTGAGGATGTAGGAGTGTCAGGCTGAGTGCTTTCTCATGTGCATTTCCCTTTCCCTTTCATCTACACGCTTATAGAGATATCATCAAAACAGATTCTTAGGTTCTTCTTTAGAATTAATTATGTCTACAGTCAACACTTTCCTGCAGCGATAATCAGTAGCAAGGCAAAGTTCCTATGAGGGAACCAGAGGTGGCCCAATTTTGTACTTTTCCATTCTTAGTGTACTTCAAATATCTTGATGATGCAGTTAAAGCTGCAGTCCATAACTTTTTTTGGCTAAAAATGATCCGAAATCAATATTTGAGCAAGTACATAACCAGCCAGTGTTCAAAACTATCGCCTTACTTTAGCCCGATTCACAACGGTTAGCTTATAATAATGTTTTCTAATTTGAGTGGTACAGGTAGGTTTTTGCGGGAAATTTGAGCATGCTGCTGCATCATTAAATCACATCTGTAAACATAAAGACTGAGTCCCGGCTAAAAGGCTATATTGCATGTGCAGATGCTGCAGGTGGTGGATCGTTAGCCTTATCTCACAGCAGCTGGAATAATTACATTTATCATTTTGATGGCGGATTGTAATCCAGAAAGGATTATGCGTTTATGAAACACATAGGCAGCGCAATTTATTGTAATGTTTTTTTCCCTCAGTTGGTCAGAACAAAAGGGGCAGACTTGTTACTTACTTGTTCTGATGACAATATCCGGTGAAAATTCTTATTTGGGTCATATATTCCAAGACGTAGGCTAGAATCTGTGATTCCTAAGTACAGTATCCACACCGGTGCAGTGACTGACTGCCACACATACTTCTCAAAACATTAGATTCATCCACGCTGGAGCCGTGCCGGAGCACAACCCACGCAAGGAAGATAATTCCGCAAGTAACTGCAATTGCAGGTTTCAAACAGAGATGGCGACAAAGAGGCAAAACTTACAGACTGCAGCTTTAATTAAGTGAAAAAAATGAAGTGTGGAATATTAGACACATCATGCATTCATCAACTGTCACAGCTTTACTTTACTAGACAGTAGAGTACACGCACAGGGTTATGTCAAGTGAAATTTATTAAATAATAATAAATACATTTATTTATTTAGCTCTTTTTACAATACAGATTGTCAAAACAGCTTTACAGTGTTAAAAAGGAATAATGTTTCAATAATGCAAACAATTCAGTTCTGCTGTAAAGCAGCTCTAAACAGAGTACAATAGTAAACAGTCAATTTTCCAGGTAAAGTCCGTTCATAGCTGATTCAGTGACGTCAACATCCAGCTCAGTTCAGTTCTCTTCAAATAGTGTCTGTGCAGTCAAGTCAATAATATTGTCAAATATCAAGCTTCCCCAACTAAGCAAGCCAAAGGCGACAGCGGCAAGGAACCAAAGCGCCACCGGTGACAGAATGGAGAAAAAAACCTTGACTTGACTTGACTTGGAGCATAACATGAACAGAATAATAGTCTACCTTGCAGTGTTGGGGGTAACGCATTACAAGTAACGTGAGTTACGTAATCAGATTACTTTTTTCAAGTAACTAGTAAAGTAACGCATTAATTTTTAATTTACAAGAGAATATCTGAGTTACTTTTTAAAATAAGTAACGCAAGTTACTTATTTTTTTCAGTTTATTGACTGACAGCTCTCCTGTCCCCATGTTGAGAGAAATCAGATGTTACTGTAGTTCTAAAATAAATATGAATATGCATTATCTCACTCACTCACAAAAAAAAAACAGATTCAGTATTCCTCAAAATGAATAAAAATAATGCAACTCAGAATATGACGCAAACCTGCAATAATTAAATGTTAAACAACACAAATATCCTTTATGTATTTAATCCCTTTCTATTAACCAATGTCTTTGCTTCTGACCTTCGATGATCCAGTTCAACCATACTAATAAGCACAAATTACTCTAGACAAACATTTGTGTGTCTTTTTTTTATTGCTGAAGTGTGTTGAAATTTCTTCTTCTGCAGTCTACAGTATGGACGTAAATTTACTTTCCCTTCAGCCTGAGGCTTATTCATTTCACTTTTGGTGTGAAAAGGCTTTTATATTTGCCAAAAATAAAACTTTTTTTATTTTTAAAAACAAACAAGCAAGCCCTGTCCAGATTTTAAAAGTAACGCAAAAGTAACGTAATGCATTACTTTCCATAAAAGGTAACTAAGTAACGTAATTAGTTACTTTTTTTATGGAGTAACGCAATAGTGTAATGCATTACTTTTAAAAGTAACTTTCCCCAACACTACCTTGGACATGTTAGGCATGCTGGGGAACAAAATTTGGGAGTACAGATAGATGACCAACCCTAGCTCACCACTAAAATAAGTGAAGAAACCGGTAAAGCTTTAGATTACAACCTGCAAAGAACTACGTAAGTATACTGAATTTACGGTGTACGTTTCTGTAATTATAGTGTACCTATAAAGAACGTACGTGTAGGTATAAGGGAACAATGTGTTACTTTGGGTAATAAGGGGGTAACAACCAGATATGCAACCTGAAAAGAACTGCGTAAGTAAACTGAAGTTACAGCGTAACTTTTTTGTAATTATAGTGTACCTTTCCAGTACCTCCGTGTAGGTATAAGGGAATAATATACAATGTTTGGGGAATAAAGGGGTAACAACCTATACAATTACAAATCATTTATACTGTAAGTATTTTGAAACTAAGAAGTACCTATTCTAAGTACTTATATTTGGACTATTGTAGCCTGGTAATGTACATGATAATGTTAATGTGTTTGGTCTTAGCGGCAGAGCAAGTACCGAGACTTGCTACTTCCAATACATCCACAGATATGCTGCTGTGAGCTTGTAGGAAATACTGCTGCTGCGCATATAACTGTAACGGGGCTGACGAGACGTGAGACATGTGGATCCATCTGCAAGCTTTTATTAAAGAGACGTGGTATAACAGGCAGGGTCGAACAATGGCAAACAGGTATATGGCGGGCAAAAACACAAGAATAGTCCTAGGGCTAGCGTTGGTTACCGATCGGCAGACAGAATCACAGGGGTGAGACGAGAGGGAGAAATCCAGGAAAACAGGCAAAGATCAGAAACCGCAAAAACAGGCAAGGCAAAACAAGGAAAACACGGAGACTCGGAAAGGGGTACAGGCTAAACAATACTCAGCAGAGAAAGGTGGTTAGAGTGGGTATTATATAGTGAATGAGGTGATTAGAAACAGCTGTGTGCAATGAGTGCAATCAGGGCAGTGTGCAAATCTTTAAAAAAATGATGATCTGGACAAGACAAAAGTTCACAAACGGCCTACATAACCGTGACAGGACAGGATGAGGATTCCCTGACGGCCTCCATAGCCGTGACAGGTCAAGCAGGGAGTTCGTAAACGGCCTCTATAGCCGTGACAGGACAGACAAAGAGTTCCCAGACGACCTCCTTGGCCGGAACAGAACGGGCAGATCGTTCATTGACGGCCTCCTTGGCCGGAACAAGACAGACAGAGAGTTCATAGGCGGCCTCCTTGGCCGGAAAAGGACGAGCAGATAGTTCATAGACGGCCTCCTGGGCTGGAACAGAACAGACAGAGAGTTCATAGACGGCCTCCTTGGCCGGAACAGAACAGACAGAGAGTTCATAGACGGCCTCCTTGGCCGGAACAGAACAGACAGAGAGTTCATAGACGGCCTCCTTGGCCGGAACAGAACAGACAGAGAGTTCATAGACGGCCTCCTTGGCCGGAACAGAACAGACAGAGAGTTCATAGATGGCCTCCTTGGCCGGAACAGAACAGACAGAGAGTTCATAGATGGCCTCCTTGGCCGGAACAGAACAGGCAGAGAGTGCGTTGCTGGGCGCCACCACCACGCAAGGAACTAAGGCAAGTGTCGCCACCTCGGGAGGTTCTGCAGCCTGTGCCGCCACCACGAAGAGACTACAGTGGACACCATGGCCTCTGGGAGCACAGCAGTGAACACCGCTACCTCGGGAGGTTCTGCAGCATTAGCCGCCACCTCTGGAGATGTTGTAGCCGGTGCTGCTGCCTCTAGCAAATCGGCGGTGGAGTACGCGGCCCAGATACACCATAAAGCAACCCCCCATATGGGAAGTGCTGCAGACAGGGGAAGGAGTTCATGAATAGAAGGGTTAGAGTGAGTGGGTTTGGGGATACCAGCGGTGCGTGCAGACACCAGCGGTGCATCCCTCACACTGGATACCAGACTGGGATACCGAAGGGCTGACCTTGAGAATCTGGGTGTGACAGACAGGACCTGACATGACTCTGGATGATCAGCTGTGATGCAACGTGATTCTGGATGAATAACTGAGGCGTGACGTGACTCTGGACGAACAGTTGAGACGTAACGAGACTCTGGACGAACAGCTGAGACATGGCGAAACTCTAGAAGATCTGCTGTGAGGTAACGAGGCTCTGGCAGCTCAGCTGAGACTTGACTGGACTCATGAAGATCAGTTGTGACTTGACTTGACTCATGACGATCAACTGTGACTTGACTTGACTCATGAAGATCAGCTGTGAACATGAAATCACCCCCATATAAAACATACATGAAATCACCCCATAGCATATCTGTACAGGAGGAGCTGGGGAAGGTGGAGGGTTTCTGAAGTGTGCTGCAGCAGCACTAGCCAAGTATTTGAATGTTGAGCAGCAAGCTCATTGGCTGCTGATGTGAAAGAATCCAATTAGCTGTGCCATGTGAATAATGATATTATATCAGATTGGTTAGAACCTATCAGCCCACGCCATCTAGAGTTTCATGACAGAACTTTGTATTTACTTGTTAAAATGACAACAACTGAAAAAACAGGACAAATTAGGAAGAGTGATTCCATATGTGCATTGCTTCCATTTTCAGCTTAATTTTGTGATCATTCATGCAATGCTGGCAGTAAGGGGCGCCGCTAGCAATTTTCGGCCCTATGAAAGAAAATGAAGTTGGGGCCCCTACCACACCAAACATACAATCCAACCTAGTTATCCAAAATATTTGTCTGCAATTTAATAATACTGACCTATTACATTTGCTATTGCTTTTACTATTGCTTTTGACCACTAGGTATCAGTATTTAATCAGAGACCTACCCATAACCCAGAGGAAACATATTTTATCTGGGGGTGCTGGAGGGCAGGGATTTTAAACAAAATCCTAATATTAAACAGCCCAAACACTTATAGATGAACATACAAATTAATGAAGACAGAAATATATGAGGACAAATATATATTTGTGCTTTTGTGATTTGAGCTTAATAATATTATTTTTCTTTAATATTTTTATTATTTTAAGGGGATTTTACTCAATATTAACCTCTAAATTATGCACCATTTATTATCTGCAATATCACGGTGTAACCTCTAGATGGCTGTATAGCCCTATATATAAATACATATAAACCGTTTGCTGCAGAGTGAGAACTTAAGAGTGACATAAAGCTTGTATCAGGTATATTGCATACTTGTATGAGGTTATTCACTGATATATTTTCAGACATTATTAAAGACTACATTTAGTAAAAGTTCAAATTTAAATGTTGATTTGAAGTGTCAGTTATTATTACTGTAGTCAAATCTGGACAGAGAAAGCATTTTGTTAGGCTACTCATACTAGCTACAGCGTGATCAGTCACACGAAAGTCATCATAATAAATATTGGTTCAGTGTGACTAGGGCAATATTTTAAAATAGAATTGAGTGTTTACATACCATGAACAGAGCCGTTCTGTGGTCGAGATGTGCATCCTATTTGAAAAAATCTGCATCGCAATCAGCAACAGGTAAATTGAGATTCCAGTAGCTTTACTGGCATGATAAAAAGGCTTTACAAAGCATTGACAGCGCTTCGAACCAATGGTGTTGATCATTATCACATTTAGAGGCTACAAATAATAGATTTCAGTCATGTGACTGGGTTGAAGACCTGGCAGGCAAAACATCCATAGAATTGCAGCACAAGCCTGTCAGTTTTCCATTTGAAGGGACCATGCAGTGAATGGGGGGAAGGGGTAATTTTGCCAGAATTGCAGAAATAAGCCATAATTTGTTTTATTTGTAACTCTTTAGTAGATTCATTTATAATTTCTATTGCATTACTATTAGTATTAGCTGTTACTGCTAATAAAACAGCTCTCTGGGGGCCCCAAAAGTGCGTGGGCCCTTAGAATCCCACTTAGTGGCGCCCCTGCTGACAGTTGAAGACTTCTTTAACATTTGTAACTTGCTATACATATTCATTAAAAAACGACCGTTGTGGTCTTCCATGGCAGACAGCAGCTTAAGAGACTACTTGAACAGCAGTGCACAGGGAATCTTCTAACATTTAAATCAATTCTGAATTCTTCTCAAGACATTACGATCGTTGATGGAGACGGAGATGCACATGGAGGCAGACGGTCTGATTAGAGCACAATCAGAGACAAGCTTTAGATTCATTGCCCATATGGTCTTATAAGATTCTACAGCTGATTAATGCTCCAAACAAACGAATGCAGTCAGAAGTTCTGTCAAGAATGCCTTGCAAAATTGTGCTGTCAATCAGACTTCTTAGAGCTGTGTGAGAAGGCTGAAGACACTGAGATGCCAAGAACTTCCAAACAAAAACTCACCATTAACAAAGGCTTTCAAGAATAGCTGTTGGAGGAGAGCATTGGACAGGCTCAAGGTTACATGGGAGATCAAGAGGAGCTTTAACAGTTATACTACAATGCTTTGGATGTGGTGCTTGCAGAAATGTCTGAGTGTTTTGGAGAAAGATACAACAAGTTAACTGAAGCTCTTTCAGCTTTCGGTCCACAGAATGACAGCACTTTCTTGGATGTGCAACTCATTCAACACATGCTGAACTTAACCAATTCAGAAAATGTTTTCATTTGGAACAAGTAACTGACTTAAAAGTAAATCATACCAATGTAATTGCCCACTGTGTATTCACAGTAGCATGACTCTGTTCTTTCAGATCTATTCCACCAAGACCAAACTCATTATCATTGTAATACCCATCACCATTGCTAAGCTATTCTGGGTTGTCATGATTGAAACTAATATAGCACAATACAGATTGTTTCAATTCCACAATGCTAATAGAGTTGCATGAATTGTTATGTTGTTGTATAAATCTTGAGTCTTAATTGCATCAGTAATGTATGGTAAGTCAGATAATGGGATCTTTTTACATGCTGCCTGTTCTAACTCTAACCATGGGTTATGGAAATGATTGCCGTTTATCCATTTTCAGAGATACTGTAACTGTGCAGCTAAAAGCTAGTAGTGAAAATGAGCCCCTAATCACATAAAATTAAGATTAAATAAATCTGACAAATTGGGAGAGATATTTATTCCTAAATATGTGATATTGCATATTCTAAATGGGATATTCAGATGTTCTATACACTGTTTATTTATTGGTAAAATTGTAGACTTTTATTATATAATCTGATATTTTAGAATAATAATTAATGAGATTGATAACTTCTATGAGCGAATGATTTTTGTTGGTACAGTAAAATATGGTATGGTATGGTATATGCATATAGTGAAATTTTATGGATGCTTTTATTTTATTGAGAAGCCAACATTGTTATCCATTTTGTCGTATTGCAGCTGCTAAGGGCTCTATGAATAATGCAAATAGGCGTGGAGAGAGTGGCCATCCTCGCCTGGTCCCTCGTAGCGACTGAAATGGTGAAATAATGTCGTTAGTAATAACTGAAGCCCTAGGTGTACTGTATAATGTTTTATTCCAATTTTTTTGTAAAGTGCTTTATAGTGTTTTTTTTTCAGTTCAGCTCTCTTCCAATAGTGTCTGTGCAATCAGTCAAGCGTCCCCAACTAAGCAAGCCAAAGGCGACAGTGGCAAGAAATCAAAACTCCATCAGTGACAAAAATGGAGAGAGGAAAAACGGGTGAAACCAGGCTCAGTCGGGTCGAGTTCTCCTCTGGACAGATGAAACCAGCATGACGTGGTTTAATTCCAGGCTGCAACACAAGTCAGATTGTGCAGAGGACTTGTCTGGTTCCCATGGTCTTTTGCTGATGGTCATTGAGGTGACGAGGTCTTTGCAGGGCATCTGTCTCTGGGGTGCATCTAGTTGACATGGTCTCCGCTGACATTCAGGGCTGTAGAGGTCATCTCTAGGTGCTGATCCACCATCTGGTCTGGATATGGACTGGATCTGTATGGCTATGGTGTCCTCGGAATAAGAATGAAAGAGACTTATAGACACACGTAAATGCCATTCTTCTAACGATGTAGCGAGTACATCAGGTGTTATGAGGCACATAATCCCTTTTACAAACTTTTTCATTAACTGTTCCCTCCTGGTGGAATGACCTGCCCAAATCAAATTGAGTAGATGACCACTGTCTTTCTTTCACTATCTCTTCTCTTTTGATAGTTTTTCAGTCAAATCGTTCTCTGTGTGCAGTAAAGAAAGATCTGAGAATCTGTCCTGTGCCACTGAAGATCGGAGCCAGATTCTCTTCGTGCATAAAACCCTGTCTGCATTTGTGATCAGAGAAATGACAAACAACAAGTGCTACTCTACTGCCCAAAACTCGTGTTTGAAACTTAAAATCCTTTAAAAGAAAACGTACTTACGTGAGTCAGAACTGCCGGCATTTTAGTCTAACGTTACTCTCCCAGGATCAGTAAAC